GAAACAAAAGGAAGAAAATCGCTTCTCTCTTGGGGGACCATTTGTTCGAAGGCTGGCCCTGCCAGAGGTGGGAAAAGGAGGAGTTTTATTCTCAAAACTACAACAGTGGTTGTATACCACTACAAGAATAACAGTGGTTGAACTAAGTTATGCCGTGAAGCATAACTTTACTATGGGACCTGTGTAAGATCTATCTTACTAAAGTTAATCAACAAGTCAAGCATGTTACATGCACTATAGTCTGAAGAGATTTATCGCCATAAGACACTGGCAAAGGATATGAAAGCTGCTATACCAGCACAATGTCAGCTGGCACCATTTTGCAAGAAGAAAAAAACATTTACACACTCGCCATGGCATATGGGCCAATTTACCATCCAGTTTGACTAAAGAGACCTGTCGTGCATGCGTTTATTTATGGATTGGCCCGGGAACAAAATTTAAGAGGTAAGATCTGGTCTAATGCACAGTAAAGTATTCTGTAGATCTTCCAACAACCTAGAATGGTGTAAAGAAAAGGTGAAACATGGCGAAGTTTTATAATGTATTCTTTGAAGATTGGATTGTGTGTATGTGATTTTGTGTGTATATTGGAAGGTCTGATTATTAAGTTAGAGGAATGCTAGGCATTTATAAAGAGCAAGGATCTTTATTCCCAGATTCCTTGCACATTTTGATAAAGAAATAACAGGGATGAAAACAAACCAAGTTGAGCTGGGATTCCTCTCAGAGTAATAAGAGTAGCAACTGTGTAGTAAATGTGGCATCTGCTGATTCAACCTTTCCGGGACGCCCATAGCTGATAATAGGGAAATGCTAATAGAAGATTGCCATTCTGACAACTGCACTGGCATTATACTCTGCAATTTGGAGAAGAGTTTTGAAGGGCCCATGATAGTTGAAAGCTCGCTCCAGTATGAATGTGGAATGTGCATTTCACAAAGAACAGAACCCCTTTTTGAAATTCAGAAATGGTCACTGCAAATGGCAGTGTTTATTGTAGCAGTGGTAATGAGGGAGAGTGGTCTATGTGTTGACCCACATTCCTGTTCATCAATCCCTGGAAGTTTCTCAAGATTGCATTGCCAAAACTATCTTTAAAGAAAAAAAATTAAAATGTATTTTTAACGAAATCTTTAAACAAATAAAATGGATATTCCTATTAAAACTCTGAAATACAAGCAGCAAAATGAAAAGTGGGACTTTAATCATTTTGGTCTTGCGCATTTGGTGAAAACAACATCTGTCACTATCACAAATCCAATGTGTTTTTAGTCCCCCACTCCAAAAAAAGGTTTTAAAAATCCATGTCACTGTGTAAATGTTGCCTGTCCCTAATTTAATATCAGATCGGGTGGGGTAAGGGATGCAAAATTTGATTTCAAGGAACACCTGAAAGGTCATAATTCTTAATGTCAAAATTAGTATATTAAATTTGCTTATTTCCTCTTCCATTCCCATCCTTCTTTCCATTTGTATTTATAATTAAATTTTAAGTTTATGAAAGAGATTATAGGATGACTAAAATTGAAAATGAAATCTGCGCAGCCTTCAAGGTTACTGTGATGAATGCCATCAGAAACATATGTGATGTTGGGTTGAAAATAGCTTGACAAGGCAGGGCCAAAAGTGAAGCTAGTCCAATCTAGACATGATTTTGATTTAACTGGAGACTGTATCTCTGCCTAGGAATAAAAAAAACAAACATTTCTAAAGATTCCTTGAGTTTACAGTCAGTGCTTGTGCCTATTATTTAAATGTGACTAAATGCTGTATGATGTTGTAGAAATCCATATTCCTTTATTAATGGTTTTGAAAGTGATGTGTGGAACTACCTGGCAGTGTATTTTATTTGAATAAAAAACTTCATAGCTCTTGGAAAATTGTCCCATACAGTACAATTTCTGAGGCCATCATTTTTGGTTTTATAGATTACAGCTGGGTTGGGACAACATCTCCCAGAGTTCCCAACCAGAACTGGTTGGGAATTTGAGGCACTGTAATTGCATCATGTCTAGAGAGTATTTGGTTTGGGAAAGTTATAAAACTTTATTGATTGATTGATTTGATTTCTATAGACGCCGAGAATCGTTTGCTGAGATGGGCGGCTATAGAAATTGAATAAATAAATAAATAAATAAATAAATCTTTCCTAAAAAAAAAAGAGGTGTTCAGCTTCCACCAGCTCAAGAACCATAGCTTGCTTTGCATGCCACATTGGGGGTTGCACTCCAAAACTCCAAAAATTACATCCCATTTTGGGAAAGGGCTTCATGAGTTTTAGGGGGTGACATGCTGCCTTAAGCTTTTCAAGGATCAAAAGACCCATTTCAATTTAAAATATTTTTTTATCACATCTTTATTATTTTTTATAAATAACCCAAGGCAGCGAACATACCTAATATTTCTTCCTCATCCTATTTTCCTCACAACAATAACTCTGTTAGGTGGATTAAGCTGAAATAGTGTGAATGGCCCAGGTCATCCAGCTGGCTTTCATAACTAAGGCAGGACTAGAACTCACAGTCTCCTGGTTTCTAGGCTGACACCTTCACCACTACACCAGACAGGCTCTCTATGGACAAACTTTTGAAATAGTCATTTCTCTAGTCAATTAAGTTTTGTTTTCATATTTCAAAAGAGGATGCGGGACTCACTGGGTAAAGTTGCTGCAGAATCTTAATTGAATAAAACAATTCAAAACCTGGCTATCAATTTGGGCCATTTCCCCCTTCAATCCAGGCTCTAATGAGCATAACGAGTGTAAGGACAGAAAGGCCTAATTTAATTTATTATTTTTTGGATATTATTAATCATGGTTTATAAAACACAAGCAAATTTTGTGTCCATGTCTTCCTCTCTTGCTTTTCTTTCCCACCTGGTAGTTTCTGAGCTTTATTGCATTATATCAATATTTCTTATTGCATCTGAACTTTAGAACTTTGACTAGACAATCCTTGCCCCATTGGGTTGTCCTTTCAGACACGTTTTCTTACAGAAACAGACAAACAGAATGACTGTGAGTAATTCTCTAAAAAACAATGGAGAGAGAGAATAAGTGGCCCAAGTGACTCATGTCTAAGATGGGACTAGAATTCATAGTCTCCTGGCTTCTAGCCTGGTGCCTTAACCACTAGACCTACTGACTCTCTTATCCCTTCAATTCCCCTCCCTCCACAAAAGGGCCCACATTTTCGGGGGCGCACTGAAGCATATTGTTTATTGACATCAATGAGTTTTTAAACAGCTTAATTTTGACCATGGCCATAGTTAATGAAGCTGCGATCAAAGGGTTGAACTCACCTGCTTCATATATAACGTATGTCTCCTTTACCTAATGTAGAGCACATACAACAATCCATATAAATGCAAACAAATGGCTTACATGGTTTAAATTAGGGCTAAGACTCTCTATGTAAATTTTGGAGAGCAATTGAATAATGTGGATTGCAGTCAAAACAAGCAACTGTTTCCTCGTATGTATTTAAATTGAGGCAGTTTAGGTTTCAGCTACTTAAATGCCAGTGGACCATCATTTGGTTTCACTTTGAATCAGAAATAAAATGCACAAAATGCACTCTGCCTTCCCATGACACTGTACATTCTTTTCCATTAGAGTTATAATAAATGTTCAAAGGGTAAGGTTTTGATTTAATTTGCCTTGTCACTCTCATTTATTTTACTTGAAAATTACAAATGAGTATGGCCACGACACAAGGATGTTCTCTTGTGACAACCTATCAAGCTCTGTAGTGCTCTGAAGCGGGCTGCATTCATTTTATTCAGGACGGTAGAAGGGAACTTCCTGAAGAAATGGATTCTAGAGGACATTTGTTTTCACTTTTAAAGCTGTTTCTGATTCCCTAATTGGGTCTGCCTTTCTCTCGCATACTCAAACAAGCCTTCGATTTCTGATAACACAAATGTCCTAACTTTATCCCATTGTTTGAGCACCCGACTACGCTTCATTTGAGGTGCTTGAGACAATGGTACCATAGAGTAGAATAATGTAGATGGGTTGGGTGCACCCCACATTTGAAGCAATTAGGTAAGTGAATAAGAAATTCTGTGAACGCTCTATGATTGATCTTACCTAAACGAGTTGTGCACACTGAACAGATGGGTAAATACTCTTAACTTCTCCTAATTTATCCAGTCTTTTGATAGCCGTGGAGAAGAGCCGTCCGTGGTGCTGACAGCTTTCTTCTGACCACCAGACCTTCTGCTCAGTCTCATCTCTAATTGTAAGATTTGTGTCAGCGCTGCATGTTTGATTTTCAGCGTGTTTTCGCTCTCTTTATGCTTTAGAAATTTTTGCCTGTAATGTATTTGAACGGAACTCTGTATTCCATTCAAAATTCTGTATTTGTTGAGCGGGGATACGAGAAGGGATCTTGAAGAAAATATAAAGATTCCTAAGCTGTAAGTTATATAAATTAAACACTTCCACAAGATTTTCCTTCAGTACTTATTATCACAAATGATCTAATCTAGCCTTGTCTGCCCTGAACGTTGTTTTCCCAGGAGAGCATATTATCTGCTTTAAATTCAGCTAAACTAATTTTTTTTCTTTAAGAGATGTACAATTAGCAAAGGGTTAGCCTGATCCATGACTTACTTGACATAAATTCATAGAAATAAAGGGAAATTACCATTTATCTCAGTTTTGTTTCTTCTAGCTCCAGGCTTTTGCTAACAAATTTCATCCTCTTTATCTTTCATATGAAAACAGTTAAAAATAATATATATATATTATATATTATATTATATTATATATTATTATATAATATTATATATTTATTTTATGTGTAAAATTTATCATTGGGACAGGCACAGAGAACACTTTCCATTTCACTAATACTCTGCTGGAACCTATATCTCCGTTCAGTGGAAAATGCTTTCAGTGTGACCCAGCAGTCTTTCTGATCTGTTTAAAATCTGTCTATTTGCAAAGTCATTAATAATAATAAAAAACTCAGCAATTTTATATGCAAACTTACTTGTTGCCCAGTGACTAGAAGGATGGAGCCTTCCTTCCCATGTACCACTTGCCGATAAATATGATCTAGAATTAAGAGTTCACTCCAACAGTTCTGAAGGAGCTTCATTTGGTCATCAACCTATGTGCCAAAACAAAGAAACAAACAAAAGAATACCTTGGGGTTATTGCTGTTGCTCTCTTTTGATTTTTTTTTTTTAAATCATGCACTTTGGCCACCATTTAAAGAGTACAAAAAACTCATTGGGAGATACTTTCACATAAACTCCCTCATGATGCTGCTGTAATACCTTGCAACTGTATTAGTAAGTTTTTACTGCAACCGCCCATTCTGTGAAAGCATTTATTTTCTACAAAAGGGCACTGAAGTTGAGGTAAGACTTTAAAGGTGAAATCATTTTCCCAATTGGGATAAGTCCTATTGAGTTTTATAGGTCCCCCCCACCCCCCTGAGAAGATACAGACTTCTATTGCAGTATCATGAAATGAATGGATACTAAATTTTCGTGAGAGTTCATATTTCCAGTCTACAGCCTCCAGGTATTTTACCAATTTTCAGTGGGTTATTTTTGTATTTTCCCCTACTGAACAAACTTTGGCATTCAGCTGAGTCTGCTTAGTCTCGCTCTTATGCAAGGATGTACTATGGAAGCAATGCCACTGATAGCCAAGTAGGAGAAGGAATTATCTCTTTTCTCTGAAAATAAATCTATCTTAGAACTAGTTCAAGGTAGCTAATAAGATCAATAATGAAAACCACAAAAATGATTCAATTGCGGAGGGACACAGCATAAAACAGAAATAAACGATATACTGTAAAAATGACATTGAAAGGAAGAATTAATGTAAATTAATATCTCAAAAGACCAATATAAAATAGCATCAATAAATCCCCAGCATTTTCATTACAAGCTTCAGCTTTTTATCTCACAAATCAAAGACCATCCTGAAAAAGAAATAGACTTTGCCAACCAGTAACATTTCATAACAGACCGGATAAGTTGAATTTCCTTTAATGAATCAATTATTCTTGCATTCTTGATAAATGTAAACAAGTTATGTCAATTAAGTATTAATTTCAGAAAAAAACACAACTTGTTTTACTAATATACTTTTGTTCTAGGTTTGTATGTAACGTAATTTATGGTTCAAGGAATGATCTATTTAATTAACAGTATTTCATAGTTTTGTAAACCTCTTTAAGAATTGATTTCAGTAAAATGCCGTGTTAAAAAAAAAGTCAGAATAAACTTTGTATAATAAAAAAAAGAGAACTTAAGGAACAATGAACCTTAAAAGTGAATTACTGTTTGGCACTTTGTGAATGTGTTGGTTTGGCCGAATCAATGAAATAAGAGAACAAAGTGAAAAGACAAAACAATTAAAACACAAGTAACATAAAAATATGCTTGATAAAAAGCAACAATATTTGTCAGACATATAAAATTTTTAGTAGTGACACAAAAATACCACTAATATTTTATTTTTAAAAATTTAACTATAAATTGTTATTTTGTAATGTGTTTTATAACGTATAAAGTATCTACTTTCCAAAATGATTAAAATACATTGATTAAAAATGTCATAGACATCTTTATTGCTGTTTTAAACTGTTTTTATCATTAGACTTAATCTTTGTAAGAAGCACAGAGGCTTGTACAAGTGGGAAACTGCTGAAATTGAACAATTTAATAAATAAATATTAGTCATTTATTTATTTAGTCATTTGTGCATTTATTTACATAGTACTGAAGCTCAGTACTTCAATTTCTAAAGTTGTAGTATTATCTTTGTGTGTGTGTGTGTGTGTGTGTGTGTGTGTGTGTGTATTTTCAGAGAAGGGAGCCATAATGTTATTTACTATTTTAGAGATTCACAGAATCAACAAACCTTTTCTCAAGGGAATTTATTAAACATTGGGAATATGATTTTTTCACAGACATATAGAACATCTATTATAAATATTCCTATTGGTATTTGAATATGCATATTTATCCTGGTGGAATGTGTATTTTTTTTTATGAAGTGCAGAACTATCACCTGGTAGCTTTAAGTAGAGTTTTAGGAATGCTTACTATAACAGTAAACTTAAACTTCAGAATAGGATCAGTCAACTCGACACCATTTAAGCACTGGATCTGCCTTGTGGCACTTTAATGCAACATCATAATTAATTGCAAGAGGTGGCAGCCAGTAGAGGAAGCTGCCATAGCCTCTATTGAGAGATTGAATCAAACACTGTTTCTCGATCTTTAAAAACGAGTAAAAGGCACTTCCAGGAGACTTAGTGCACTTTGAAGAGAGGTGGTGCAAAGTGATACATTGGTAAATGATGGAAAACTGTGATCTGAAGCTAGCTTCTTCCATTGCTGGAATTCTTTCTTGAACCATCCAATCAATTGTACAAGGAACAATTTTGTGTCCATAGCATTTAAAACTTTTAAAGCTAAAATGCCAAGGATCTTGCTGTAAGATAAGAGATAAGATAAGATGACCTTTACTGCCATTTTTTTTTTTACCGTGAACACACTGGCATACATTAAAAATGATATTCTGTTATCTGCTCTCGAATGAAAGTATACATACCCATACATAACACATGTATACACATGCTATATACATTAATACACACAGAGAGACATACAGACATATACATACATATAGACATACATATATGTACACACACACACACACACACACACACACACACACACTAATCACTGTCCATTTTGAATACGTAGCAGAAAGAGGTAATTTAAGAATTCACAAGGTTGATGCTATATGGAACAAAACTGACTGAATCTAGTTGTTCTGCTTCAGATACTACGAAGCCTCCTCCCAGAAGGTAACAAGGAAAACAGGTCGTGAAGAGGATGTGTCGTGTCCCAAACAATCCTGTGGACCCTGTTCAAGCATCACTTATGTGCCATGTCCTGGATAGAAGGAAGTGAACTACCAATAATCTTTTCTGCCATCCTCACCACTCTCTGCACTGCCTTCTCATGCTGGTTGCTGTATGCTGTGTAATGTTATGCCTACAAGGCTACTTATATGTTGGAAGCTGTTCAGACTAAATTCTTCAGGTCTCTACTTCGAGCTCCCTGCATTGTAGCAAATGCAATTCTTCAGCTTGAACTCAGCTGCTTTTCAGTGGAGGCTGAATTATTACCCTGCTGGCTGAAGTATAGGCTTAAACAAACTTGGGCCAGTCTGTGCTGAATCTGTTTTATTAGTTTTTGTAAGCAGATACAGCCTCCCTGAAAGAAACAAATAATGGATAACCTGGCTCATTGGCACTCCAGTCAGTATCTGTGCTAGGCTTGAATAAAGCCAGGAGAATGCTCAGACAAAGAATTATCATTTAATAAAGAGATAGAATCATTATTCCCTAATATTTATACTATTTATTCATTCTGGCTTTTACATTGGCACATCTAAATGGTACTGTTGGCTAGATAAATCTATCTCAGCATCTACTTCTGTCTTACTATTGCAGCACCATTGAGAGTGTCCTGACATACAGCATTCTTACATGGTGTGGGAGCAGCTCTGCAGCAGACAAAAAAGCTCTACAGAGAATCATTAAAACTGCCCAGAATATCATCGGACTCCAGCTACCAGCCCTGTACGACATCTTTGAATCTCGCTGTTTGAGAAAGTTGCATAACATTCTCAGAGACTCTTCCCATCCTGCTTACAATCTTTTTGGACTGTTGCCTTCTGGCAGAAGATACAGAACGATTAAAACTCGGAAAATTATTATTTAATTTAACCTAAGTAAAGAACAATCCATTTGGTGTAGTGATTACAATATTAGAAACCGGGAAAGTAGTTCAGCTTTAGGCACAAAGCCAACTGGATAACCTTGAGCCAGTCACTTTCTCTTAGCCCTAGGAAGGAGGCAATGGCAAATTACTTCTGAAAAATCTTGCCAAGAAAACTCCAAGGACTTCTTGTCTGGATATGTCCCAAAGGTGCATTTTCAAAAGGCAACTAGACTTTCTTTATTTTCCTTGAAGACCTTCAGAACTTAAGAAGCTTCTTGGATGAGAAGCGAAATGTCTTGAAGGAAAACAAAGAAAGTCCAGTTGCTTTGGTTGTTCCAAAGGACAACCATGACCTGGATGACTGAGAATCTCCATAGTCATTTGTCTGGACATGATTGAATGGAAAAATAAAGATAAAGTAACTATAAATTATCACACTGGGTTTAGCAGCACCACGCAGTCTAACTGTCAAAGGATCATGTGAGTTTTCAACAGCATGTAGTATAGTCTCCAGCACAGAAATTTATTTTCATTACTTTACCCTCCACTGTGGCATACCAGTCATATCCCACTTTGACAATACAGTTGGATGAAAGAAAGAAGAGTGGGAGATAGCAAGATGGATCCATGATAAGTCAAAGTGTAGCCTGTGTTATCACAGGAACAACCTTGGTCTTCCCCCATACTATAGGAATATAATAATAATTCATTTCTACATAGAGAACAGAACAAGGTTGAACCTATATTTTTCAAAGACAACATTTGTTTTGCTCTGTCCAGTTGCATTTTTTTGGTCTCTCTCTATCTCTTGTGCCTGTCTTAACAAAGCCACCAGCTATCTGGAAGAGAAGACTGCAATCAGGCCTTGTCAAAAAAGGATGAATCCCAGGTCCTCAACCTCTCTTCCCCAAATGTCCTCTCAATTTTAGTTTAGAACACTTTTCTGTGCCTTTTTATTGAAGGTTGAAGATAAATTATAACTATATTTAAGACTGATAGTTGACAGGTTAGGAATAAACAGAGCTGTCTATCTACAGCATGTTCCAAAATATATCTTGCAACAAAATGCAGTGCATGCTGCACACACACACACACACACACACACACACAGAGTGTGTGTGTGTGTGTATGTGTGCTGTGCAGCAATCTCAACTTAAAGGGTAAAATATGATCACAACAGCCTGGTATTTGATTATTGCCTGTTGGGAACACCTAAAACAAAATGTGTTTCCTAGGATTGTGTGTCAGTTGTGAAGGTTAGCTTCATAACCCTATTCGGACCGTATTCGGACCATTGCAGCTCTCCCCTCTCTCTTCTTCAAATCTCAGTAATCAATATTACTAGGCTAATGTC